ATGCATTACGTAAAGGTACAGTTCCCAATGAGAAATGTAATTGTGTTGTATACCTACAATGTACCAATAAAAGAATTTAATAAAAAAAAAAAAGAAAAAAAAGAAATGCAGGCAAAGAGCCTAGACTCTCGGTCACCTGTCTTAAAGTCTTCAGCATAGACCAAAATGAACAGAAGCTAGAATCTTCTCTAAACCACATATTTCACTCAGACTTTCATTCCTGAAGGAATGCTTCTATTATTATTGTAGATAGGTAAGTTAATTAGATATCTTGTAGGCAGGTAGACAGGGCCAGCCCACAAGGAGCCAACATGGAGCCAACATGGAGCCAACATGGAGCCAACATGGAGGACAGTGAAGATACACTCACTGAAGGCCAGAATTGTTAAAGGAGAGAAACTACACACCCATTATGATGAATAGCGGTGATTGATATTCTAAACAGGTGTCAGTCACCTGGGTGGGGGGTCAAGGTCTTAACCCAGCCTCTCCAGGAAATATCCCTGACCCACCCTTCCTGAAAATCCTTGTACACTTGCTAGGAGACTTGCTCTCCCATTTGACCTCCATTTAATCAATATTACCTGGGTGACTGTACTTGTGATCTTACTGGTTGGTCATGGTTTTGTCCTACCTCATGCCCACCTTGTAAACTTCCATTGGGTCTTACAGTTCCGTCCCACTTTGTACCCACCTCACCACATGGCCTTGCTGTATAAAACATCTTTGAATTGTGGGATGGGCAGGCAACCCACTTTCTGGTCCCCCTTCTGTCACAGAAGCTTTCTCTCAATAAATTTTTCCTACTCTTAATCTCCACTGTTCCTAGAATTCATTCTTCAATTTTAGAGAACATGAACTCGCATTTTGGATAGCTAGTGGGTTTGGGAGTTACATCTCTTCCCCCTATATCAGTGGGGTTAGGGATTTTTAAAAATGTGTCTGTATCAAACCTCTGCATGAATGCCTTTACTGCCAAATAAGACACAGAGGCACTGAGTGAAGGAAGTGGCCTTTGGCAGAGTGCATGGTGCAGAGTGAAGTCTGAGACCCGGGCACATTAATAACCGCACATCCCAGCTCTACTCTAGCTGTGCACTCTGAGAAGCTTATTTAACACCATGCCTCCCTCTTTGTCTCTACAATGGAGATCCTATTGACACCTGCCTCTCAAAGTTGTTGTGGAGACTGGAGGAACGTCTAGAAAAGCACCTGACATTAAACACCCCAAACTGGCTATTAACTCTAAGTCAGCATTTCCCCTCCATATAAGGGTACCTTTAGGAACACCTGCAGGTCTTGGGTTTGAGTGTGCTGCAGAATCTCTTGTTGTAGATGCTTGAATATAGCTATGCAGATGTACACTTGATAATCAGGACCAAGGAAAACACAAGTGGCAATGTAATGGCATATTTCTATCCAATCTAAGTAATTCCAGAAACATTGAGTGATCCACTGCAGGCAAATCTTTAAAAAAAAAAAAAAAGGTCATTAAAAAGCTTATCAAACTACTTTTGACTTTTAAAAAGCAGCAACCAATGACATAAAACCAATGCAAACCTTGCGTTTAATCAAGAATGACATTCTGCACACAGCCTAGGGAGGGGGCTTCCTGTGTGGCAGACCCGGGCCCCAGTCAGGCATCTGCATGTTCGTGCTGTCACTCCCTCGTCCTGCCCACCGCTCCTTTCTCACCACAACCCGTCTGCTCTCCTCAGAACACCACTGCTAAGGGACTGCTGTGATTCCCAGATGCGAATGTTCCCTGTCCTACCTATAACCACAGAGGCATAATTATGCAGACGGCAGACTGCTAAATGTTACATTAATGCAAATGGACTCTTGCTGAAATAGAAAACAATTTAAACCAAACAGAGCTACATAACAAAAACTGAGAGCTAATGTAGAGAATCAGGAGACTTCAAAAATGAGACTTTTACAAACCGCTTGTTTTTCAATTTTGTTTTTGCCTCTGTTTAACTTATTTTCTGAATGACATTTGTTCGGGTCATAAAAGCAATGCACACCCACTGTGGAAAGCAGAAAAGTTTTTTAAAAATAACAATGACGCAGAGATTTACACTGTTAATAGTTTGGTAGATTATTTTATGGATCGAGTCCTCAACCCTCCCCAAAAAAGATGTCAAAGTTCCAGCTCCAACCCCAGTGGCCCAGCACGTGACCTTAGCAAAGCCAAGAGTTTGGTTAAAATAACTACTTCCGGAGGCCGGGGGCAGCCAGGCCAGACAGGACTTCCACAGGGCCATGTCTCACAGTTCTGAGACACCGCTTTTAACAGCTCTTCCTGCCTTACCTTATTTGCTCTCACCACAGAACTAGCAACAAGGATAACTAACTTCAGAATTCGAAGATCTTCAGTGCTTTAGCGAAGTCCTCACTACCTGAGTGACCTTTAAGTCGCTCCACGTCACTCATCCTGAATTTGTCCATCAGCCACGTAGGGAAGGTTAAGAGTTTAAATGAAATACGACTGGCAACTATTATTTAAACTACAAAGAGTCATTACAAGAATACAAGACAATATTCTTATTGCACATGTAGGTGAGATCTGGTGTGCATTTATATGTAAGTTTATATTTTCAAAGGCCATTGCAAAGTACCAAAGTGTCCTTCAGTCCAGCGGCGTGATGGGTGGGAAGCTGAGAGGTTTCCCCCATCCACGGGGCTCCGTGCAATAGCCTGACACACTGGGAGGTGGAGTGGGCCCGTAGAGGTGAGGGAACAATTCGTTAAAGAAGTGGGGCTTCTTAAACCGTGGAAGGGAACAAAATGTAATAAAAAAGACTTTTAGCAAAAATAAAACTGTTCAAAAAGTTAATTAGAACATGACTTTCTGTTACTCATTTAAAGAGAAGACATATTCAGACTTCTATTTTCTTTCCAATCTCAGTTACATTTAGAAGAAACTCCAATCAACAAATATGCATTTCTGAGCATGTTTAATGTTTTGTACTCTAGTTGAGCTTATTGCTTTTACTCCAGAGATCTGTATATTTCATTTAGCAACTTTCCCACAAATCCTTCACTAATCAACTAATCCTGTGTCTAAAAATATGAAACTTCAAAAAGCTCTGCTCCTAATTAAATCAAAATGAATAAGCTTTGCAACATAAAATTTGTACCCAAATAATTACTTAATCACATATAACTATTTAGTTACTTAAACCTTGTTTTCATATTTTATAATTAGCAATAAAAAGAAAAGTAATATAAACAAAGCAATAATAAGTACTTCTGAAGGCCAAATGCATAGCGCAATAGGGAGCCATTATAACAGCATTTTTACATTAATTTAAGAAAAAGAATAACATTACTGCTTAGAAATAATACAATACCCTTATTAGATAAATCTATTTGTATGCAGTTTCAAATTGATAAGATATATGTAATAAGATATATCAAATCAATAGAACAATATATTTTCTTTTAATCACTAAATTCATACAGTGGAGCTGGAGATATTCAATGTTTTTCCTGTAGCCCTTAATAATCCATTTTCACATTGAAGAATGTATATTATGGACTCATAAATATTAACACGTTACATAAAGAGACTCAAAGGCAAAAAAAAAAATCAATGATCATCACAACAAAAGCATAGAAAGCCTTTGATAAAATCCAACCTCGCTTCATGACCCAAATCCTGATGAAAACAGGTACAGAAGGGTCTCAAGCTGGGGAAAGCCATTTGTGACAAGCCTGCAGCCTCCAGGTTGCAGTGAAAACCTGAAAGCATTTCCTCTAAGTCAGGGTGACACAAAGGCGCCCTCTCGCCTCTCCTGTTCAATCTGGTACTGCAAACTGTAGCCAGAGCAAGAGGAAGAAATGAAAGGCTCAAACAGGAGAGAGGAGTCAAATTATCCCGATTTGCAGATGGTGTAATTTTCTCCACACAAGACCCACAAACCTACACCAGGAGACTTAGATCTCACGGAGAAATCAGCACACGAAAATCAATTACAGCATTCCTGCACATCAGTAATGGATTAGCTGAGAAAGAAATCAGGAAAGCAATTCCATTCACAATAGCTGAAAAAAAGAAGACAGGCGGGGGATGTAGCTCAGCGTCAGCGGTGCCGTGCCTGCCTGACAAGCTCAAGGCCCTGAGTTTGATCCCCAGTACCTCAAAGAAAAAAAAGAAGAAACCAAACCCAGGAATCAATCTAACCAAGGGTGAAAAGCCTCTACAGTGAAAATGTGAGAACACTGAACACAGTAAAGAAGACATCAGAAGATGAAGAGGTCTCCCAGGTTCACGGTCTGCAGAATCAATGCCATCAGAATGGCCATGTTACCAAGAGGGATCCACAGACCCAGGGCAATCCCGTCAAAATGCCAATGTCATTCTTCACAGAACCAGAAAAATCCATCCGAAAATTCATACAGAAAAATAAAGACCCAGAATAGCAAAGCAATCTTGGGAGGGGGCCAGGCTGAAGGCATCACAATACCCAATTTCAAATTATACCACAAAGCCGTAGTAACAGAAAGAGCACGGGACAGGCAGCACAACAGACTTGCAGACCAGGGAACGGAACTGAGGACACAGAAACAAACCCAGCAACTGCTGCCCGTGGATTCTGGACGGAGGGGCCAAAACCATATACGGAGAACTGACAGCTCTTAAATGGTGCTGGGAAAACTGGATCTCCACTTGCAAAAGACCGAAACTAGATCCCTGTCTCTCACTGTACAAGAATCGATTCAAAATGAATAAAAGACTGAGGTGTAAGACCTGAAAATGAGAAACTGCTAACGGAAAGCAAGGGAAAGCCCGAAGCCAGAGCACAGGTGGACTTGAGGAGCAGGACTCCGACAGCCCAGGAAGTCACAGGGTCCACATCAAATGGAAAAGCTGCACAGCACAGGAAAACACACAGAGTGGAGAGACAGACTACAGAGAGGGAGAAAATCTTTGCCAGCTACTCTTCCAGCAGAAGATTAAGATCTGGAATATACAAAGAGATTAAAATCCTAAAGGCAGAAAAGCAGAGCCCAATCAATAAATAGGCAAAGGAACTGAACAAACACATCTCAAGAGAAGTTCACATGGCTGGGGAGGGAAGAAGAGAGGGAGGGAGGGAGGGAGGATGACAGAAAAGTGGGAGGCAGGCTTTGGGGGAGGAGAGAAGGCAGAGGAAAGGGGGACAATGGGACTGGGAATATCAAAGTATGTTAAATTCACGCACCAATGTCCCAGAACCGACCCTGCCATTCTGCGTTACTAGCCCGTGGCAATAAAAATCGTACAAGGTTAACCTAAGTAAAATGGATATAATTTAGAAATGGAATAGGTTTGGATAGCGGGCTCCACTTTTAAAGAACATATAAAAGTTATTCAGGAACACACTGAGTGGGCAGTTAAAAAGATGTGACTGGTTAATGAAGCTATGAACATACAATTGAATGTGCTGACACTCAAACATGAAATTCAAAAAAGAGAAAAATTTCTGCTATTAAGTGATTAGTTTTTCAAAAGTCAACTACCCCAGACTGGCATAACTGGTGCTCTCTTCATTTACATCAAGAGAGTAAAGTCAATCAATTTGGTATATACGTCAGGAGTCTTAAAAACGCTCATGTCTTTTGATGAAGCATTTCTACCTTTAGGAACTCTGACCTAAAGTGGCAATTTTGGGGGGTGCTCAGTGCCCAGGATCAAACCCAGGCCTCATGCATGCTAGCAAGCGCTCTGCTACTGAGCTGTACCCTTGTCACTGACAGGAAGATTTGATTCAAGAACCAGAAAGCTTTAAGCGTCACAACTGAATTCAGCCTGATCACAGCACAGTGAAGAAACGGCCACATCACCAGCACCAGCAGGCCATGCACAGGAGGGGGACAGATGTGCCCACAGGGACTGTGACTGCGATGACCACACTGCCCAAGTCCCAGGCTAGAAGACTTCAAACCCACCAGCTCCCAGGGCAGAAGCAAAGGCAGAGTCCTGTGAGCTTTTCTGTGAGGTACGAGGGGATGGAATTCCTGTCCTGTCACTCCGTTAACCCTTCTCTGGCCGTATTTTACTGTCATCAGTGTGGAGGGAGCACTATCCCCACGGAAAAGCCCACACGATCTCTCCAGGCTCTCAGAAAGTCTGTGTCCTGAGAGTCGAAATGAAACGCACAACGTGGGACACGGGGATCAACTGGAACGCAAAGCTGTATTAAAACGAGCGGGCTGGGGTCAGTTTAGAGATCCACGTCCACACTTCTGTTACTTTCAATGTATTTCCCATTCTGGGATGAGAAGCCTATTCTCTTGGCAGACACAGATCTGGGAGCTGAAGAAATGCTCCTCCGGACAGGTTACCTGGGACGGTGCAAACCCGGACATGTGGAAGGCGGAATACACAAGCGGCACCTCCGTCTTCAGGAGCATTTCCGTGCAGTGAGCGCTGCAGAAATACGCGGGGTGGATGCCCGACGCCACGGTGTCAGCAGGCAGGTACCTCTGCACCAGACAGAAACGGAGAATAGTTCAAAACGATCCAACACATACTCAGCCCTGCCTTTTCCTTCCGTTGCAAATTGCTGCTTCGAAATTTAGGAGGTGGCATCACACACTACTGCAGTTAGTTTAATTATGTAAGTTAAGGGTCAGAATGTTAAACACTGTAGAAGGAGTAAGTCTTAAAAAGCAGGGTTATATATCTAAGACACAGGAATTAAGTTAAAACTAATTTTGGCAACTTTAACACAGAATGATGAGGAAAAGCATTGTGTAAATGAATAAACAAGCAAATGCATAGTAATAAATGCTTTACACTTTAATACTAAGTGTACTTCAACGTGCTTAATGTTCTTGGCTTCAGTCAATGATGTTATGTTGAAATCTTTTAGTGAGCTTTTGGGGACATTTGCCTGGTCCCTTTTTGTGTGTTAATACTAACACAAATCTGGGCCTGAATTAATTATAATTCAAATCGGGAACTCTAAAAATGAACTCATCTTTAAAACTGGAGAAAATACACCATGTATCCCATCAAGGTTTGCAAGGCAACTATTTTGTATAACATTTTTATTTTATATTTCATGCACATTTATATATTACATATGTTTCTGAATATATACATATATATTTACAAACATTTTTCAACAAGGTCTTCATAAAGTTGGTTATTTTTTCAATTGATCACTTAGATACAATTTATCATTGTGAGCGATCAATAATTTTATTTACTGTTATAAATCACAATAATTGCTTTTAACATGCAATAATAAAGTTGAAGGTAAAATTTTGTGTAAAAAAACTTGTGTAAAGAAAAATGGTCGAAACAGCAATATCAATAAAAACTGACAATCAAATTAGATCTAAAGACTTTACATAGTTAAAGAAACATCTCAAAAAGTATTTTTTTTACCTTTATTGGACAACTCTTCTAAACTACTTTGTGTGTGTGTGTGTGTGTGTGTGTGTGTGTGTGTGTCTGTTACTGTGTATTGAACCCAGGGCCTTTGCACTGAGCTACATCCAAGCCAGATTTTAGTTTTTCTTTTGAGACAGGGTCTTGCTAAGTTGTCCAGGTTGGGGTCAAACTTTCCATCCTTCTGTCTCAGCCTCCCAGGGTGCTAGGATTACAGGCCTGCACCACTAGGCCCAGCTAGACTACTTTTAATAAAAGGAAGTTAACATTTTAAAATTAAAATAAATCAAACAAATTACATAAGAGTTAAAATATGGTGGATTTCTTTCTAACTTTATAGCTAAGGTACTTTAAGGATTTAAGGTGAAGCTCCTATAATCAGAAATCAGGTTGACTTATCAGTAGATTTTGTTTGGTCATTCTTCATCATAAATAATGACTTATTACCTCGCATTGCAGAAATGTGCATTTGCAGGAATAAATGCTGTTTATCTATCCTGCAGGCTCATCCCTCATTCCTATATTCTGAGCCAGCGCTTCTGTCCTGTAGGGGCTTGTCACCACACAAAGCTCTGAAACCATAATAACCAGCTTACGATGTGCTGATTCAGAAGACCCTTAAGAGTCATGTGACTGTAATTACACATGAAATGCTACATATTGTTCTAGCAGGTTCAGTAGGAGACGAGCACATGGACAATGCTAATTCTATACACTGGTGAACACACAGACACCCATTACCTGGACATCTTTCCATTGACTTCAGACAGTCAGGGCAAAATGACGGACCGAGTGAGAATTACCATCAATCAATCATCCCATGAGATACGTTTGCTTCGCTATTTGTAGAATGAATGAATCTAATAAACGTATCAAAAGTCCACATATATTTAAATTTTCAATGTGAACTTAGGTAATCATTTTCCAAATACATGTCTCATAGTAGTATAAGAACTATAGGCACAGGAAATGATTTTTATTGCAGGGTCTTTTCTGTATTGCAATAGAAACACCTTTGAGGTAAGTCAGTCCATTACGAAAAAGAAGATGACAGAAATTCATTGTATTCTCAAGGAAAACAAGGCACCATGGTGTACTGGATTTCCAAAGATCAGGCGAGAGCTCTTGCATCTCTGTAAACTGAAATCACAGCACAGCTTTTCATAACCACAGCTCGCGAGGTCAGACTTTGCACAGTGCAGCTGCGCTCCAACGGCCACTGAGGACCCCACAGGGGATCAAGGCAGTCAGCTCTAATGGAAGTCTGTTAGTCAGTCTATTAATTACCACGTCACCGCCCTAATTTATTGAAATAGCATTCGTAAAACCAGATCAGTAGGCCCGAGGACTTAGTTCCGTGGCACCGCGCTGCCTTGCAAGTGCAAGGTCCTGAGTTCAATCCCCGGTACCAAAAAAACCAGATCACTAAGGACAGCTCTGAGACACATGAGTCTTACAAAGGGTCTTCTGAATTACCACACTGCATGCTGCTTATAATTTTAGGGTTTGGTTAATTAGTGACAACCCCCTGAAAAAACAGAAACTCGCATTCAGAATATAGGATGAAGGACTGGACATGCAGGACAGCAGCACTGAATATGTCCTGTAAGTAACATACAAGCTAGTGTGTAAATTATGCTAGGAAAACTCCAAAAAAATTATCAAACAGACATCTCCTGGACCATTAGGAGACATGAGAGTGACATAAATTGAAACAAAGATTTTATAAAATGACATTTTTAGGGTGTTCTACTGTAGTGATGAAAAATGAAAAATATATGATTCAAAACGAAACACAGCAGTCTTTGTTTTTCTTCCACTATCGGTAGTTCTAAGAAGGCATTTATTGCTGACACAAAGAAAAGTCTGGCTCAGTGTCACCACGGAAATCAAGTAGAAAGACCCGGTCCAAAGGCAAAGCAACTGTCCAGCGTGGCCAGGTCCGGCGGCCTCCACCTCCAGGGCTCCAGGGGCAGAGAGCGAGCGGGTCCTGCGTCACCCACCTGCCAACCTGTGTCCTGCAGCAGACACAGGGAAGGCTGGACAGTTCCCGGAACTTTATTCTGCGACTCCAGAAAACATCTTTTCCTCTCAGGAACGAAACAGGAAAACAATCTTCAGCCGTGAGCGAGACAGACGCAAAGTCGGATATGAGAGAGTTCTGACAGGAGTCCTTGCTCCCACAGGGATCACTCGCGGGAGGGTGTCCACATGTGCCTCGCGAGTGTGCGGAGCACTGCAAACTCACCCTCGGGCTGGCCTGAACTCCGCCGGAGAGGCTCCATCGCCCTCTGCACTGTCGCGGCCTCCGGAGGGACGGGCCTCACCGGCCGACGGGGCTGACCGGTCTCCCCGGCAGTCCCGTGCATGCGTCGGTTCCGGGTCATCTGCACATCGCTGCAGCCGTTTCACGTCAGTGCAGTTTTGTTTGTATATGCACAGAAAGTACTGTGGGTTTTATTGTGGTTAATTTGTTTTCCCTTTCCACATGTTGTACTAAAAGAGAAGGCATGTATGATTGTTGCTTTTATTATAATTAATATTTGAAATTAGGTATTCTCACATGGAAAGACTTTCTTAATTTTTCTTATCTGTAATTCTGTCAATAGCTTTAGTGTTAATAATTAGCCAAACAGATTCCTGATGGAATTCCATATGAAGATTATCGTTTAGTTTTTTAAATTTAAAACAAATAATAATTGAAGATAATTTAGTCAATTAGTCAAAGGGTTGTACCAGTCTAAATGACTTCAAAGGATAAATTTTCAAATTATTTTTATCTCATGAGTAGTATGGTCATAGTTTGCAAAATTTTGAGGACTTCATATTGTTTTCATTAACAATTAAGCTTCATTAGTTCCTGTTTAATTATTATAAATTAATTTTTAAAACTTTCTTGAAGCAATTTAATATAATAAGAATGCAGGGATCAAATAGCTTTTTCTTTTTTTCCAGATTTTAAGTAAGAAAAAGCCTACTGACCCTTACATATTTCTATTTAAATACTAATTCACATATTTAAAATACATTTATTGAGTGATTACTATGGACTATAGCTGGGGACATATCAGTGAACGAGACAAAACTCCGTCCTCGTAGAGCTCCCATTTAAGTTCTGGGTAGTAAATAAAAATATAACTCAATGTGAACCAGGAGCTGACTCGCACTATGAAAAGCAGTGAAACACACACAGCATGGTAGTGAAGCCCGGCAAACAGGCAGGGGCGGGCTGACTTTCTTGAGGCCGATGCCGACGGGGCGCGCCAGGCGGTTTCCGGACGAGCTGGAGAGCTGAGCGCCCGCTCGTGCCGTGGCCTGCAGCGCCGTCCCGCAGGCTGGAGAGCAGGGGCGCGGAGGGAGGACCAAGCCCGTGGATCTGCGGCTATCAGGGCAGCGCTCGCTGGCGCACACCGAGCCGTCCGTCTCCCCCGGCGGCCGACCCTCCTGGCTCCGCGGCGGTGCGTGGACACTGGAAATAACACCTACCACCAGCTCGCAACACAGCTCCTGGGGGCATCTTGGCGGAATGCTCCTTGTGGTACGAAGAGGCAACAGAGTACTCGGTAAGAAGACACCCAGCCTGGTGTGTGTGGGCTGCAGAAGGAACTGGGCCCCGATGTGCGGCCGGCCGCAGCAGAAAGGAGCTGGCGCTGCGCAGTGGATTCGGAACCGGCGGGACGCGGGCGAGGGGGCGCCCTGAGCAAACCCGGTGGCCGGCACCCGGCCTGTGCTCGGCTTCAGGAGAAGAGTGCTACCGCTCTTATGAAAACAGCAGCTACCTAAAAGTTTACAGGTTCAAAGTAGAAGTGCAACTGCAGACAACCGCGGTTACACATAATTCACTGGCAATGCTTACGGTACAATCTGGACCCTAAAGCAGAAGTGTTAGGTCAAGCAAACTGCGGGTGTTATTTTTAAATGTTTGACATGAAAATAAATGTTTGGAATTAAACACGTTATCAAAAAGGTTTGAAAATTAAATTTGTAAATGGAAGAGCAGAAGTGTAACATGTTAAAAATCTTTCTAATTTAAAGATTACATTACTCAAGATTTTGGTTTACAGTAGAAAATAGTTTCTTTGATGAAAGACTGCAAATACTTTGGTGGCATGTTTCCTATGGTTCGTATGAGGAAAATTTCTCATCACGTGAAGGGCAGGAACTGGGAAGGCTTACTCAGGAACTCCACGGACATTTCAAGCATTAAATCATACAATCTCGATACTTAACTCATTCCTTGGGGCCTGGGTTCTATTTTCACTATCAGAGGCAAATATACGAGCACGTGCATACCCACAGACGTATGCACGCACGTATCCCTGACAGCGCCGACTGTGTTCCTCCACCCCGCCCACCCCGCTGGCCCCCAGCTGGTCCCTGACAGCCGGGGTCGCTGTCCCCAGGAGCCTGGCCCGGCAAGGATCTGGGAGGGTCAGAGTAACTGAGTAGCAGGCGGCCTCTCCTGGCTTCAGATCTAAGCACAGCGCAGTGAATAAGAAAGTGAAATACAGAGCAACATCAATCAATTAATTAAGGGTTACCCTTTGCTAATATAAATGCTGCTGAGGTCTCATAAGACTGACAAATTTTATCAAAATATATTTATAATACAATACAACTCAAGATTTGCAAAATGTATGAAAAATGAGCAGTTCTTTTCCTCTATGAAACAGTTACAATTTCTACTTAACAAATGATTTTCTTACACTGTGATTTAAGCATCAATAGAGTCCAACGAAATAACAAAAAATCCATTCAATAATTTTCTTACATCCAGAATTTAGCTAATATAACTTTGTAAGTTTATAATTATTAAAATTATCTAATGTTAGACTTCTATTTTAATATCATGCTTCTATCTAATAAAAATGCTTCATCTTTATCTTTGACTCCATTGTCAGTTAGATAAGACACCACGTATCTGAGAGAATGTTAAACCACTATTTTCAAAGAGATTCTGTCAAAAAACTATTCTGGTAGAAACGTGAATGTAAATCATTAGCCCTCCAAAATAAACTAATACCGCAGTGAGTTTAAATTGATGCTTCCTAACGCTCCAAGCTCTGTGGCTCACCGAGAGGTGCAGTCTCGGTAGCCAGAGGAGCGCAGAGGCCAGCAGCCTGGAGAAGCGCAGGAGAAACCGCAGCGTCCTCTCTCCGTCCCCCGAGAGCATGAGGAACAGCGAGGACACAAACCAGTCGTGGCCGGCGTAGGCCCCCTGCAGGCAGACTGGGGAGGCGTCAAGGAAACCTCCAGGAGGCTTAGGGACGCGACGCTGCCCGGGTCCCCACCCACACAGACGCTAACCGCCCCTGGGAGCCGCCGGTCTTCGATCTTGATCTTGGATAGATCGCTCGCCGTGAGCTCCTGAAGAGAGATGAGTTTATTACGAACACAAAGCACCCCACAGCTGCTATGGTAACGTTCTGATGACTCCACGTGCAGGAGAAGCTACGGCCAGCACCACGGGCAGAGAGCCCTGCGGCGGGCGTGACCCAGGCCTGTCCGTCCCCAGAGCCGAATTCCCGACCTCAGGAGCTCGGCGGGGCCCGCGCAGCTCAGACTCTGGCAATGCCAGGGGTTCGGACACACTGTTTTCTTCGAGTCAAACTCCATTTCAGAACAATAACAAATTCAAATGAAATAACACGTGGATGGGCTGGGGAGAGCAGCAGGATCATTCTTACTCTGCCTCTACAAAATGTATTTTTAAACCGTCCTTAGATATGTCTGAAAATTCACCGTAATGACTTTAATTATTCAGTTTAAGATTCAATGACTATGACTGACTCTAATGATTATGACTCAATTTAAGAAAATTTATGTTTAAAATACAGAATAAAATACCATCTGGATAGAACATGGCAAATCACTAGTGTAGCTTAAAGTGTTATTTTACTATGTGTTAAGGTGTCCTATTGAAGAAATATGAAAAATACAAGAGGAAAGTTCAACTATTGCGCATCTATTCAAAAAGGATACAAAGAGAAGATTTCACAGGCGCTTGCTGCTGCTTCAGGAATCTCTCACAGTGTTTCAAAACCAAGGCGAGATCACTTTCCGCACCATCGTTTAACAAGTTGAGGAACTTGCCATAGCTGCATTAAAAGCCCATTAGAAGCATAAAATGAAAACTGTCAGGCTCTGAATTGCACCATCATTTTTTAAAAATCCATCAAAGTGTATTCCTCTTGAGATGTCAAGGTTTCAGTTTTCAGGATCCTACTTTCAGCACAACTGTGTTAAACAGAGCACTTAGGAAAGACAAGCCCCACCACATGTTCCTGGTAATTATGACATTTTGGGTTGGCAGTGGGTACCGAGGAAACACTAATAACCTTACAGGAAGACAACAGACCAGTGAGAAAATAAAACGTTCTAAATACACACTGAAAGTAGCTATGTGTTAATCAAGGTAAAATAGTGCTTCTGTAGCCAGTGTGATGGTGCACACGTGTAATCCCAGCACTCTGGGAGGCTGAGGCAGGAGGACTGCAAGGTTGAGCCCACCCTGGGCATTTAGCAAGACCCTGTCTCAAGCCAAAATGAAAAGGGCTGGAGCTGGGGCTCAGTGTAAAGGCTCTGGGTTTAATCCCCGGTACAAGTCACACAAAAAGTCCTCGGTTTTGTCAGACACCTCACTGAGACCCGGTTCCCCTCTTGTGAAGTCTGCCAGTTGTGACCGACACGGCTTGGGGTGGCAGAGTACAGCCAGGCTGCGAGCTGCGGTGCTGTCTCCGGGTTCTGCACGGAAGCCAGCTCAGGCGCACTGCGCACTGTCCACACCCTGGGTCAGCCCCTCCCGCCTGCTTCCGACACAGGAGGCATCACTGAGCTACCCTGCCTGTCACTACGGATTCCATCTCGGAAGGGACGTGTAGCGCTGCAGGGCTCTGTGAGGGCAGTCACACAGCAGGAGGAAGAGGGCTCCGATCCTGCCACGAATTTCCCAGCGCTCGGCCTCTCTAACAGCACTCACCCGTGCCTTTCTAACTGTGATTCTGAAGGCGACCTGCAACTGAACGGGGTGTGGAGATCCTGCTTTCAGAAGCAGGAAAGACAGGCCTCAGGACTCGCTCCTGAACTCCCTGACCATCAGCTGGCAGGCCCGTTTCTTTCAAAAACGACAATTTGAGCACTAAAAGCTCAAGCGACAACCATCTTGGAGCCTTCATTTTAACTTCTGACTCTACCCTGAAGGTATGTCTGTCCTTGTCACCATCGTGTGACAGGAGCATCACAGACATTGAGGAGGTGGCTGGGAGCCTCACTCCGCCCACACGCCATCCACCCTGGAATCCTGAGCACAACTGACTCAGGCAGGCGGAACGTAAGCATGCACTGCTACCCTCAAAGACAAGGCTATTGTTTTCTGAGTGATAAACTCTGCATGTGAAGTTCACAGAACAGCTGGCCGTTGAATATGATTCAGCTCGTATCAGGCGGGATCCTGAGGAGCCCGGGAAGGAGCTTGCCTGCCCCGTACCTGATAGCCATCCGCACGCCGAGCTGCTGCACGGACGAAAGGCTTTCACTCCTCACGTCTGCATCAGCAGCTGGGAAGAGAAAACAGAGTCCTCAAAATGTAGAAGTCTGCAGAATAATCACACTTTAATCGAAATTGATGAAAGTGATATTTTTACATATTTTAATGTGAATTTTGCAAACATTGATGAATGTGTTCTTCTAAGGGCTGTCAGTTACATTTTCAAAGGAATTAACAGGAAATTTTTAATTAAGGTTTTATTATGTAACCTATTACTCATAAAAAAGAGCATGGGATATTTGTTAAATTGTGTGATATACATATTTGTGTGAATTCACTGATTTTACTGTTCTTCTTTTTAAATTGCTTTACTTTTTTAAAAAAAAACTTTTTACATGTAACTTCTCTCCTGTATCTACCATTTAAAGCATATTAAATACAGAATAAGACTATTCAATAATCTGATTTACGTGTCTATGAACAAAAACCAAAAGGCCATTGACCTAAAAAGTGATCTAGAAACGCCGTACTGGCGTCTTGTGTGTAGGACTCTCAGGTGCAGACAGGCACGGATCGCTCCTTATTCCTTCCTGGCCCATACTGAAGTCTTTCAGTAAGAAATTCCCACGGTTAGTGAATGAGTAACAGTGTGAGAAAGTGGAGCAAGTTTCTTTCTTCGGCCCATTTTCTTTATGGAGCAGGAATTATGGCCTTGGATCAAAGTGAAGTAGGTGAAAGGGGCTGCAAGTCTGGACTGGTTCTCAGACATATTTGGGGGACATCACCAGGGACAGTCAAAGTGTGACCACACAGCGTCCAGGGTCTAGCAGAAGCTTTCAAGTTTTGGCAAATGAAATCATAGCATGCATAGCACACATAGCATGCGCACGTGCACACACACACACACAATCACAACCTCGGCCCTCCAGAGGACCAAAGCCAGGCGTCCAGAACCCTCTGTCACCAGCTTCCCCTCATCACGCAGTGGCGTGTCACACTGTCCTCAGGATCATCTCCATCGGAGACTCCTTCCTCTCTTCTCATAAGCCCTCCCTGTTAAACGCCTAGAGAAGCTGAGGGCTGAAGATAAATCAAACATCAGAGCCTGAAAGACCTTCCAGGCAGCGTGGAGGCCCAGCGTGTGTACAGGTAAGGCTGATAGAAGTGTTTGAAATCAGTGGGAGAATGGCTCAGCTGGGCTGGTGGGTCCTGAGGAGGAGAGTATTCTCGGGGGCCGGGGAGAAGGGGCATCTGAGCTGAGCCTTAAAGTGAGGGCAAACTGCAGATGTTCAGAGCCGGGAAGATCGCATTAAATGCCATGGCTCCCCAATACCTGCTCTTTGGACCAGCAATAATTAACCGTGACTCATCCATCATGGTCACCAACTCGGCCTGCTTTGCCTGGACTTCCACAGTTCCACCCCTGAAATCCCAAGCCACGGGACCACCCATATCCCGGGAAACCAGACCCGCTGCTCACCATATTTCGACTGCTACTTTTTTTACAGAAAAATAAAACCAAAATAAGACTTTAAAAGTGAAAAAAAAATTTCTTTAAATGCTTGGCTAATTCCTTCAAAACTGCCATTCCTGAGTCTCAACTGGCACCGTACAATCTTAGCTACGTACTGCTACACTTCACCCATAATGACCGCAGTTAAGCTGCAGTCTCCACAGGTGAGAACTTTCTTGTATTCACAACTCCCCCTGTGATACTAGATGTGCTTCCTCCCTTGGAGGAAGGGGACAGTTCTGCCCTCTCCCAGTAGCCACATGGGGAGGCTGGGCACAGCAGCTCCTCAGTGCCTGGCCTCAATGTCCACACTGGAGTGGACAGGGAGTTCTTCCTCCCTATTAATCATGGGGTCCCTGACGCCCTAGGGCTGCACTGGAAAGGAACGACTACTGTAAAGGAGAAAGGTGGAGGAAGAGGATGGATTGCAAAGCTCAGCTTTGCCCTGTTTGTAGGAGGCAGGGGTTCTGCTTCATTCCCACATAGTTTAAAAGGTTTCCCTTGGGTTTCCATTACCCAGTATCAGCGCTTGCTCTCCAGCATGACAGCCAGTTTTAAAAACTATCAATCATGCTTCATATATTACCCATAATTTCAACTTTGCAATCATATCAAAAGCATTTTTTAAAATTAGCCATAAATCAAACACAGCTGTATAAATATCCACTGCAGCATAATCAGGTTAAATTCCTAGGACTGGTGACCATGAGGGTCTTTCTGTTTCAGTACCTGAGTCTGCTCCTGGTGATCTTTATGCCAAATTACACTTTAGTCTTTCAAATTTAAATAATGTAAAACTTTGGTGCTATTTTGTTGGTGACATTGGCAAATTCTGTATAATTTAAATAGCTTTAAGAAAATAAACACAACAATTCTGACTGTTTCAACAGCCATGGAACAGACCTCTTATCAGCCATCCCCATGTGACACAGTGACACAATGAGATTTCTGAGAAGTACTGCCAGACAAGATGAGTTTGGACGGGAGCAGAATCCCAGGGCATGGAGAACGACGCTATTCACTACAGAAAGTGATCGCTCACCTTCAGGGGCAGCTGTGTACTGCACTGGCAGGAACATGTCCCCTCCAGAGAGCATACGAGCTGTCCTAACTGCCCAGGAGGTGTGGACAGTGGGTGGGACGGGTACTAAGACTGAGGTCCCCGAGCCACGTGTCTTATGGAGTGCAGTGGCTCCCGCCAGGGGACAATGGCCTCCCCACACACACACACCAACCAAGGATAACAGAATCGTGTGAGGGAGCAACGTGGCAGACAGGCCACCGTGTGCACTGTGGACCCGATTCATTGTGTGGCCTGAGATGCATGCTTTGACTTTTCTAAAGTTCTATGGGCGAAACCAATGGATGTCTTCAAGGAATTCTCCTGAACATCTCGGGCTGGCAACCAGCAATCTACGGATGTTGTCCTGCTGGGAGACAGAATGGATGGATGGATGAACAAAGGAGTCGGGAGACAAATGAAGCACCACCCAGTGAAGAGCAACAGAGGAAACTGTACTTGAGATACCAACCTGGATGAGGGAGAAAAGGATGCAAATACGGGCCTCAGACATTTCAAACCAAAGTCAAATGATAAACAGAAGCTACAGCTTCCACTTCCTGAAGGTACCGTGAAAAGGACAGTGCATTAGGGAAAAGGGTCCACCCAGGGCACCCACAGCATCACTCATTCACTTAACGGAGCTGGACCCGACTCAGGATTGTATGACGCTGCTAATGTGAAACTGGATTATCTGATAGAAGCTCCTGTTTTAATTATGAAGAGAATGGCCTCAGAACTAAACGTTGACAAAATGTGCTTAACATGGACTGTGATCACTCACTCTCGTAATAATTTCTGTTCTATTTTTGGTCTGCAATGCTAGCACATAGAACAGCAGCAAAAGAATTAAATACGTCCTGCCTGCGCTGGGTGATGATGTGGAAAAACTTGTTCATCAAAGTAAAGACTGTGCCGAGCGCAAGGCCTGGCAGGAGCAGGCACTGCCTGGCCCCGGCCGACCCCGAAGCCCTGCACATGTGCGGGAGGCAAGGGCTCCACTCCCAGAAACCGCTCGGCCGTCTGCCTCCCTCGGCCGGGTTGTGCCTCTCCTTGGCGAGCTCAGTCCTGGGCGAAGCTCCGCTCACTCTCAGGGCCCTGCCGGGCCACTTCCTGCCAGTGCCCAGCTGGTGCTGCACCACAGGTTCCACATGCAAGGGGCATGGGAGCGGATCTGTCAGCATTCGAAGAAGCTCGAAAGGTGTTTAAACAATGTATTAAGTTTTAGGACTACACTTTAATATTCAAAAGGTGAAACAATAGAAGATTTTCTCATTTTTCCCAGCCCTTCAGTGAACTAGCGTCACGAAGAGAAAAGAGATAAAATATAGGTATCTGCTCCCCTGAGATGGCTTCTTAATTTGTCATTTCAAAGAAGCAATGACAGCAGGAAAAAGCCCCAGTCCCTTCCAGGGCACATTCTGACAAGAAGCTATGCCTGTTAAGACTGGAAAGACACCTATATGGCATGCAAGCTGTGAATTCTTTTTTGAAGGGTATAAACAGCCAAACTAACCTGATTTTTCCAGATTTGCAAATTTTATAATGCATTGAAATCCTGAGGGAGCTAACAGATGGATGATTGTGTTATTCTAATTTCAGCTACCTTAGGGTTTGGAAAGCTGTCATTTCTAAAAACACAATCAATTTCTCATTTCAAGAAACATGAAAAAAAAGACTATTTCCAGCATTTGGTTTGAAATGTCTTTTATATCAAAAACTGGTTTCTGCTTATTTAAAGTAAATAGAGTGCAGTTTTATAATAGCAAACCACTGTTCCACTAGCCAAGATCTACATGATAAAGGACGGGGCTGTCTTGGACCTTTGGAGGGAATCTACATCAGCACTGAGCTTGGTGGATCGCAGTAGTAAACGCTACACGGCAGTCAGCAGGAAGCCGCTCACCTCTGGCTGTCTGCAGGGTTCTGTGGACAGCCTTCACCTGGAGCCTTTGAAGAATTCATACTCATATGCAGGCTTATCTCCCTAGATAACATACGCCACAATCCAAAGCCTTCACTGGCATAATTTAGAGCCAGAACAGAGAGTAGTAAATGTGTGCTCACTGAGCAACCAGTCTTGTTGAGCATTAACATGAGACATACAATATAATTTTAATTTTAGATCGTCTCCAAAACAACATGGCCCAGTAGAACAACCTGCCCACGGAGCTGCAGACACTGGAGTGTTACCCACAAGGTGCGAGCAGCTCCCCATGAGGTTTGCCCCTGCGCCTTTCTGTCGCTCACAGACCCGACCCTACACCCCGTGTGCTGTTCACGGAGCTTGAGGTCCATGCACAGCTGGCCTTTTCCCCACAAATGTTTCTGTTCAAAATACCTTCATGACTTCTGTTTTCTTTCCTTTGTGCCTGAGTTTCCTCATTTTGAATGCGATGATTACATGGCCTTCAGAGAGCAGTTACCAGGCTGGATGAAGCAGTCAGTGTAGACCAAGTGCCTCGACACACTCATTTGCAAGGGAACTCAACAGACAGCTCCTTCATCCGCCTTAAGTTTTACCACTTCGCATTTCTTTGTTTTCCTTCTCTCATGATTTCTTTGACCCCTTCCCCAAGTTTGCATTATCTGTTACTGGTGTAAACAGTTACAGGTTCTTCTGTGTGCTTATAAATATCAGTACGTTTAGAAATGCTTTCAAATTATATCTGTGGGAGTTACAGGTGCAACATAACAGCAAGTATATTTAATCAAAGGCCTTAGGAAAGGTACAAAGGTGTTTGAGAGCTAACAGAGCGATTCAAGCCTGCCAGAAACAAAGCACTAACTGTGGATGTGGCAGGGTTCAAGTGAAGGCAGCAGAAGAGAGGCAGTGATGCTAGCTGGAGGCTCACAGCTGATCTGACACCACCACGTGGGCATGTGGGCGGGGACTGTCCGTCCAGAAGTGACCCGTGCCAGGGCCAGCGGGCTCGGGCACAGTGGCCTGCCCCGGGGGGCTCGGTAACCAGGCTAGGAAGACAGGCTAGGCCAAACTGGAAGCGCAGATGATGCTTCACAATGTTTTCCACGGCAATATGACCAGGACATGTTTGAGCGGCAGTTTCTTCAGCAGACAGAGGAAGCAGCTTCCCTGACGAGGAGACCTGGCCAACCCAAGGTGGGAGAAGCCCGCCTCTGCCCCCCGTCGCTGCTCCCACTGTGCCCTCGAGTAGGGACATCTGTTCCAGCCAGTTTCAGGCCTACGCTCTGCTCCGTCCTCACGAAGCACCAAAGTCTTGCTGAGATAGATAAACCAAGAAAGGCTCTGCTCAGAAATTTTAATAGGCAAAAGAATAAAGCATTCGAGATAAATTCATTGACACAGCAAACAAAGTCCCTTCTTCCATTCTTCTACCCTTTCTTTGTTTTGAGTGTGGCCAACATTTACTGACATTTTCTAGAGCAGAGGATGCAGCGACAGACAAGGCAGACAGTACCCTGCAGGAGGGGCTTGGAGCCACGTGAGGACCAGCGACTTGGCCAGAAGGTGGGCACGCCGGAGAGGGAGTTGTGCCCCTGCTCCCACGCCGAGCGCATGTTTCCAGCCAGCACTGTCCTCACAGCGCCACACTGCGAATGCACCGAGTCGAGGCGCATCCCCTGGACGTCTACCAGGGATCCAAAGCAGGACAGGCACGACCCCTCGGGGCTCCCCTCCCCGACACACGCCGTCCGCCTGTCCTCCAGCCTCGGAGCCACAGCTCAGCACCGCGAGGACCATGCTTCCCCTCTCACCTGTCCCCACCCATCACCCCACCCGTCCACCTCCTCTTCAAAACACACCACAGTCTGAGCCCTTCTGCCATCCTCACCGCCAACATCCAGTTTCATCAGGATCTTCTCAGAGTCCAGGGCCCCGCTGCCTCGGCCTCCGTCTCCCTGCAGTCCTCTCAATGTGGTGGCCACAGTGAGCCGCAAACACAAGCCCTGCAAACCCGCAGCAGCTCCGAGCCACGCAGGAAACCCCATCTGAACCACCTCTCCCAGGTGCCTCCCCTCTTGGCTGTTTCTCATGTAGCACCAAACCGTGGGGACCTTTCAGGTATTCATTTCCTGTCTTCCCACCAGAAAGTGAACTCTAGGCAGCCAAGCCTGTCCTCTGTCCCTGGTGGGTCACTAGGGTGTGAGGCCTCTTTGGTGGATAAGTATGCCAGCAGCGCAAGGCTGGCCATGGGCTCTGGCTGAGCAGAGACCTAAGGACTAGCACTGAACTTCAGGGGGAGGAGCAACGAGCGGGAACAGTCAGGGCCGCACTTCCAAGTTCATCCAGGGGTGGAGAAAAATACCCTGAGAAAGAGCCAGACTCCAAGTTGAGGAAGGGGCAGGGTCCAACACAATGCCCTAGACGAGAGAGGACGTGACAAATTCCAGAAGCACCAAGGCACAGAGTGGAGTTCAGTGATGAGAGGGGACACTGGGCTTCAGGAAGACCAGGAACCTGCAGTCCCAGCTCAGTGGTGACGCCTATGCTGCCCCCGAGGCAGGTGAGGACGGCATGTTCAGAGAGCGTGACTCGGTGAAGACCCCACGGTCCTCCGGGTTTGAAGGGCACTGTCACATGCAGGTGACGCTTACCCACCAGGCAGCTGGAATTACGAGAATGAAACCTGCAGCAGATGTCTGAGTAGAAGATGTAAGTTTTAAAGGAATTGGTTTATACGAGGTGGTGAGTCCTGAGGCTTGACTAGGTTCGTCTCTTCCGAACATCAGAACCGGGAGTAAAAGCAAACAAACCCCCTTTCTTTGTAATTTATACAACCTGTGGTACCGCGATACTGCAACAGAAAACAGACTAAGGCATAGGTAGTGCGCGCACAAGAGATCACTGGAGAATACCTGATAAAACCAGAAGAGTGGAAGACACCCGAGGAAAAATAATTTCTGATGGACAAACCCATAAGTCCCAAAGGACCAGGAAACCAGACTTTGGCACACAGATTTGCTGTCTAGAACGCACACGGCATCCAGCGAGCCGGGAAAACTCACACCTATTTGTAGTCTACTCACACACCTCCACGAAGCACTATCTGTTTTCACACCAAGCAGTTTTCAAACTTCAACATATTTAAAATGTACCTGTGTATTCCACTGAGGGGAAGTAGCATTCAGCTGGAATTTCAGTGAGATGAAGCACAAATTTTTCAAGTAATTCTCCTAAAGCTGCAATAAACAGGAGAATAATTAGGACATTAAAGGTCAAGAGTAATATGTGATAATGCATCTCTAAATCACAGACTAGCAGGTAAAAGTCACTTGAACTTCTTCAGAGTTATATAAAATTCTTACGGTTTTAGTATTCATAACAATGTTTCTGATTTAAATTAAATTTTAATAGCTTAGTTGAGAACCCTTTCAATGCAAAACTGGGAAAGAATAATCTGCTATCTTTAGATTCTCTAAGGATTCTTTCAGAATTTGCTAAATGATTTCAACATACTAATTAGGCTATAATATCTTATCATAATTATTCACACATACAGAGAAAAAAAAGTAGTAGGCTTCAAGACCAGGATTAATGCATAGCTCGTGTTCCTTTCAAGTCCATGACATAATACACGGAAGTTTTCCATACTTTGCAATGGATGGTGCAAATTCAAAGGAGCCAGATCAAAAGGAAGCTTGCCTCATCTGGCTTGGAAATGACAAAACGACTCTTTTCTAGGCTGTCTGATAATGTGACTGTGTTTGCGTACAGCATAATCCCAATATGGCCAGGGTGTGATGGCTGACAGGCAAGCCAGTGTCTTCTTCTGCTGACAAGAAGTGCATCTGTAGAGACACAGCGAGGAAGCTGTGGCCTAGTAATGTTTAGGGATTAACCACGACCTGTACTAACTGCACAGGCCCTACTTCACATCCACCTGCTCACTAAGCATGTGATTCTTTTCGGTTTTTTGGTACTGGGGATCGAACTTGGAAGCTTGCGCTTTCGAGGCAGGTGGTGGAACCACTGAGCTAAATCCCCGGCCCCTAAGCACGTTATTCTTAAAGGAAAATTAGTGTTTCACGTGTGAAAAGTGCAAAATCACAGAGGGATAACATACTTTTCAACAACTGTAGCTGACAAGCTGTAAGGCAGCATATATTGATGGCCCAATAAAAACAGTTTTTATTCATTATATTCATAATTGCAAAGGGACAGGGTATAAAGAGTCTGAAAAGGCTGTACTGCTGGGCCGGAAAGGACATCAACACAGTGATGTTCCTGTCTACAGTCACTTAACACTGATCCTGTATCACAAGCAGAGGCACAAATCCTACCACACGAATACACATCAGTGATAGCTCTTAGGTGAGAGCTTTCAGTTTCTATACGTAAAAATTTCTTTATTTCCAAATCGCTTACAATATTGTCTCTTGAGATTACAAATTTTACAGAAAAAACAATGTCATGATGAGGTTCAGATGTAATCATTCTTAACTCTATAAGATTAATCTCAAATGCAAGAAATACATTAGTTACAGAGATTGTGCAGAAAGGCCATTTTAAACGGAAGTGCCATTCCCAACTCCAACTCCAAAGTAACTATTCCATTTTGTTTCAGCCACATACATGCTATGTATCCAGGGAGAAGTCAGCCCACCGCTGAGGAGTCTCTGAATCCTGGGTCCACAGTCAGGTGTGAGAGTGGGAGACACAGCTGAACAAACTTCCACGCCGATCCCTAATCACCTCCATGGAGGAACTGCGCATGTCAGGACCTTAAGGCCACACCCGGCCAGGCACACTGCCTCTAGCCAGTACTGACTTTCACTACTACCACGTCTTGTTATTAGAGCCGTACACTACAGCCTTACTCGTAAGTTAATTCTTCTACTTCATATATGAAACGATGCCCTGAAATACTCTAAGCGGGCTCTGGACTGCTACTGGATATATTACACTGAACCAGCCTGAACAGGACCATACATTTCCACATACTTTGAGGGGTAGGAATAGTTGCAGAACAAGGCTGAACATTTATGCTCACGTGAGGAGAGCCCAGGGCTCTGACCGCGCTAGCACTGCTCTCTAACCAACGGTGAGGGCAGCTGATCTGCATCGTTGCTGGAGTGGCCGCTTACTCAGTAGGGCCAACAGACTCAGGCATTCAGAAATCACTGAACATTCCACTACCTGTAACTTAATCTCATTCACATCATGAAACGATTCCTGACTTCACACGAAAATCAGCTGTGGGGTACTATCCAGAAGGGGAACTAGAGAGCATTGGTTTTTTACACACGAAGAAGGTCACCTGGGCTTTCTTTCTGCAAGGCAGAGCGTGCCCGGGTGCCCTGGAGCTGACTCTGCTTTCTCCCTTGGCCCTGGCTTCTGCTTGGTCCAGATGCTCCGGGCCCTCAGAACGCTGAGGGAATCTCCACAGCAGTGTGAGTATGCAGGAGGCCCCGAGGCCCTGAGGCTTATGAATGAGACTAGTGCCCCCTTTTCTGTCTTACCAGCCTGGAGTCAGAAGGCAGCCTCTTGCAGGAGAGTGAGCCCATGACCTGAATCTGCGGGAATTCAGCCTTCAGAAGAGTGAGAAATAAATGTGTGTTTATCACCCAGGTAAAGCACTTTGCTATACCAGACCGAAGCACCAGCCGAGCCACTGCTGGTTCCAAAAGTAGGACAACTCAGCGCTGGTGGATGTTCGCACTCTCTGCTGGATTCATTCTGCAGACTCATTTTCCAAAGCTTCGCTGCCAGTGCATCCCGGCTACACCAGGATGCAGAGGGGGCCTGTGCCCAAGGGCCTGTGCATGCTGCTTCTAGGCGGCCCTGCAGCTTCCTCCCCACGCCAGTTTCTGCCTCTGCACAGCATGCAGACACAGGCTCCTAAGACATGAACCTCGAAACCATGAGCCAAAGTCAGTCTTCCTTCCTCCGGGTTATCCTAAGGTATTTCGGCTCCGTGACAGAAAGCTGGTGGCCACAGAAAGCGGGTGTCCAGGAGTGGGGCTGTTTCGGTGCCTGGAACTGTGGTTCGGAGCTTTCAGAAGTGATTTGCTGGGGGAGCTGGGGGAGCTGGGCAGGCTGGGAAGGCTGCAGGACGCTTGCACAGAGCTTGGTGGGTGGCTCTGGTGGGCGGTGAGAGGACCAGGATGCCAGCTAAAGTGGGGTCAGCAAAGACCTCGCCTGTGAGGTTTCAGATGGAACTTGGAGGAGAGACCACCCCTGTGACACGCCCAAAAGAACTTGCGCACATTTTGTTCAAGTCCTGACACTCAGGTTATGAGCTGAGCCTGGTGCAGGGAATTTCAAGGCAGCACGACATTCAGGCTGTGGCTCAGGCATTGCTGGCTACATTTAGCCAGTGAGCATCGGGAGCAAAATGCTGAGCAGAAATACCTGAAAAGCTTGCACCTTGGCCACAAAAGAAGCACGTACAAACTTGGGGCCAAGGACAGTGTGGCTGTTGGGGAGATCAGTGCCATTAAAAAGCACCTCTGGGTTGGGGGCGGGAGGCAAGTACTTTGCACTGGGACAACAAGAAAGACAGCTTGAGGGCACGTGGGGAATCGGCCGGCCCCTCCCACCCACCCAGGGCTCAATCTGTGAAAGTGTAAACTCCTTTGAAAGGTTCTGCTTTCACGACAGGGGCCCAGCACTCAGAGGCCACTGCAGCTGTGGTCCATGCTGGAGCTGCTGGCAGTCCGTGGCATCATCCACAGAATGCAAGGGCTGGGGCCATGGAGGTTCCCATCAGGAGCTCAACATGAAGCCCGAGGGGCCAGGCAATGTGTGCCTCAGTCCCTGCAGGCAGGCCCAGAGGGGGCGATGTGACGCTGTGAGGATGAAGTGGAAGCTGCAGTGGAGACGGCAGGAGCAGGGGCTGTCAGCCAGGAAAAGCCGCAGGCCAGAGGCAGCCCACGAAAGAAGCCATGTTCCTGCAGGCCGGACAAGGGCTGCCCAAGCCGCTGGGCACATCTCACTCACTCCCACTGCCTCGATGCCTGCTGCAGAGCAGAGGACTTGGGCTCTGGTCTTGCTGTGGTCCAATTCTTCCTTGGTTTTCCCCGACCCGTTCCCACCTGAACTCTGCCACGGGAATGTTTACACCATCTTGGGAGTACGTAACTTACGTAGAAAAACTCCAGAATGAGTGAAATACTCTGGCCCCAAGCATGTTGGGTAAGGGATAGTCAAACTGTAATTGGTGTTGAGCCTCGAAAATAATCTGGTTGTGCCAAACACATGTGCTTTATGGCTGTAAACATGAAACAGGCTAATTTAGGCCCACAGCACAGCCTTGCTAAGGGTAAGATCTGGACATGCTGGCTCAGCTGGAGCACAGAACAACCAGGAATTGCACTGACTCCCCCCTCACCCTGGGGTTAGGGGTTATGCCAAGAAGACAGCTGAGAGAAAAGCACACCTGGCCTCAGAGCCGCGTGATGCACGGGTGCCATGGGGAGGTGTTGAGGCAGGAGCAGCGGTGACAGTGATGGGTGATGACACCCACAGCAACAAAGAGGTGGCGCTGTCCTCCCGCGCTGCCTGTGCGGCCTTCAGCTCCCCAGCCTCGGAGCTCCGTGCTCATCATCACGCCCTGAAGCTTTCATTTAGAGCGCAGAGGGTTCCTGGGCCCAACACCGAGCAGCCTGGAACTCAGCTGCAGGCCATTAACTGCACTGCTGCTTGTACATTACCAGAGCACCTAAATTACTGCGGATTTTCGTGACAGTCGTACCTGGCTAGGGCCCCAGGGAGTCACCTGGGACCGGGAAAGCATTCTACAAAAAGCAGGTCTACACAATCAAAGGAGTAGGCTTTAAAATGGCCCTGTGGAAGCGCCAGGCCTGGCCTTAACAGGTCCGAAGGCCTGGCTCCTGGGAGGTGGAGTCTGAAGAGCGCAGCCCAGTGGGTGGGCGTCAGGCCCCTGCAGATGGAGGGATCCCGGCCTTCTTCCTCTCTCCCTTGCTCCCCCACAGGCTCTTGCCAGGATCAAGCCCAGGGCAATGAACTGTGGATGGCAACTTCCAAAGCTGCCATCCAAAATAAGCTTTTTCACTTTATAAGTTGTTTATCACAATTATTTGTGTTAGAAATTATAAACTAACAAAAGACATGTCTTTACTGACTAAGAAATGCTACTCAATACTGTGTTGAGTGAAAAGACAGAGGAAAATAGTATGGTTGTTAACTGACTGTGACTAAAACTACAAACAGTGACAGTCTCCGAATTATAGGTAACTTTCACTCTTACTTATGCTTACTTACAATAATCGCACATGAGACTGCAATAGTCCAGTTGCTGAATGGTGAGTATTTGAATTAAAGTAATGCTTACAGAGACAAATTAAAGACAAATCTAGGAATAAAACCTACAAGACCCAGTGGGTGGGAAGACCAGAGTCACGGGATGGAAGCAGCCCAGGCAACCAGGCTCCTCGTTAGCAGGCAGATGTCACGGGTGATGGTCAGAAAGGGATGCAAAGGAAGAACTTCTCTCATTCTCCACGGCATTTCACACGGGGCAAATATGAACTCTGGGAGCAGCATTAAAATCTAAACAAATGGTATTTCAAAACTGGGGAACAGACTTTTTTGTTCCCTCAGAATATTAAGTTTCTCGGAAGTCAGCGGACTTCAGGGTTAGTGCTGTTTTCTGAGTACATCAGTACTAACCGCAGGAGCCGCGGCTTCTATTCATGCCAAAAAAGAAAACCTAAACACTGTAGTGGAAAGCCATGCACTCACCACCTCCGCTGATGACGTGGCCTTTGGACTTCATCGCTGTGCAGAACTGTCTTTGGCAGTTTTCTACCCACTCAGTTTGCTTATCAGATATCATGAAGCATGATAATAGTTGGCTAAGATCAGCATCTGAGAGGAAGGATGAAACATTATGTTCTTATAATATCGCACACTGTGTATACCAAAACTCAGGTACTACATTAATCTAGACAGTACAAACACCAGAGAAAGCACTGTGCATGACTCCAGAGGAAAACATTTTTCTGTAATTATATTCTATACAAGGTCAGTTACTATTTATCACTTTTGCTAAAAGCTTATAAAATGGATACTGAATTATCGAAAGCTCCTGAGACAGGTTGTTGCTTTGTACCCACAAGTCCTTGAACTGTCCTCTACACGGTTCATTACTGAGGGTCTGTTTTAACAGACGTGTGAACCTGAGACTGCACTACCCAGACTGACATGAACTGTACTCGTTCTTTATGTATGTTCAGGTGCAATTTTATTCATGTCTTTCAAAGCACAAAGAAAGCATAAGTGCACAAAACTTTTAGTCAACTACTTGGTTCCTTTTTCTGAAAAAAATATACTACTGAAGTGTTAAAAGTATGCTACTCTGGTATACTGCCAATTTAAGTATACAATTTTCACTTATTTTTATTATCAGTTAAAATGAATTTAATTTTAGAGAAAACATAGATAAAGTCCCTCCTACATGGCTATCATGATCAAGACAATGTCACTGCCCTTGTGACTCATGTCATTAAAGATATGCACACACGTGTCTGTACAGTAAACCTGTTACCACAGAAGATACGTCCCAAGACCCTCTGCTGATAGCTGAACCTTGGATGCACCAATTCCTGTATGAGTTACACATTTCCTAGACATACACACACATGATAGTTTAATTTATAAATCACACAGGGAGAAGTTAACAGTAACCAGCACAACAACTGGAAGGCCCTGTGATAAAATGCCAGTCACTGCTCCTGCACTCAGGAGCCGCTGTGTCTGAAACAAGGGTGCACTGCAGCACCGAGACTGGACGTGGCACCCATGCAGATGACGTGACTAGGGCAGCAGCGCTCACGAAAGGCCGAGCCCCATCCTGGGCAGGACACCCCACACAGACAAGGCGCAATCTAAAACTCTCGAATTATTCATTTCCAGGACACTTTATTGAGCATCCAGACAGCAGGGGACAGGGGTAACTAACACTACGGAAGGAGAAAATGCAGGTGGGGCCCACCCATACATGGACACGGATACACATGAGCAACACACAGATCACGACGGGGTGAGCGAGCCAGGGACCCTCTGACACAGTGTGATGTTGCTCAGCCCCCGAAGCTGTCGGGTCAGTGAGGGGCTTCACGGTTCTCAGACACACACGCACACACACACGCACACGTTCGTATTTAAAATTGGTAACTTGGGAAAATATTCCCTTATTTGACATTTAGCTCATCAAAAAGCCTCCTATGAAAGCTTCCCACATATTCTCTCCTATAAAACACACAAATATACAGAGACACAAACACCAAACACGCACACTCACAAATACATATAAAAATTGTTTGGTTGAAAGAATGCAGAATTCTCATATTCAGTATTAATAATTACCTTTAAATATCAAGACTGTAACTGTATAAAACATTTCACAAATAAACTACATAGGAGCTTTTCACAATAGCTTCAATAATAAAAGCAATAATTAGATGAAAATTACCAAATTAAATCAAAGGAGAAAAAAATCCTTCAAAACACTAAAAATCTTTAAACTAAAAAAATAGCAAATAATTTTCTTAAAAATTACGTTATCGTTAACAAAAAAGTTTAAATTTCAAATGTATCTTGATATGAATCAGGTAAAAACTCAACACACTGAAATTTGTTTTACTGTTTTCATTTAGAATATCTACACTATTTTCCTAAGAACAAACTCCCTTTAGCTTATTCGAATAAACTAATAAAATCACTACTAGTACCTGATTGGAAAACAAACGCTGCTGTGCTTTTTCATCCTGCTTCCTTCTCTGTTTCTTTTTCTCTTTTACCCTTACGTAACCCTGCCTTTACCCCTTTCAAACAAAGGCTGTCACTACCACCTCTGCCAAACAGGGGCCGTCTAAATAGCTCTTCATGAGCTTTACCCTCTCCCCAGACCTCCTCTTGTGCTTGCCTCTTCTCTCTTCACATTCTGTATCCTGTTCTGCCTCCTTGTCCTCATTCTAAAGCAAAAACACAGAGTCCTGCAGTCCTAGAACTGCAAGCAGCACTGAAGTAGCAGGCGTGGTGCTGCCTGGGTCTGTTGTTCAGCAGGGGCGATGACATGACGGGCCCAGGGTGGGTATCTGGGAACCCGATTTGAAGCAAAGGAGGTGGGGTGAGCAGAAATGGTTACTCTGGCTCACAGTTTAGTCTGTGGTTGGCAACACCAAGGTAGAAACAGAGATGGCGTGGGGAAGGCCCAGTGGAGGAAAATGTGCAGAGTACAGGGCGGAGCCGGGAAGCAGACGCACCCTCCGGGTCACCCCACCAGTGGCCCCTCTAACTGGACCCCGCCCCACAGCAGCAGTCAGCACCCAACGAGACAATCACCTTCCACACAGCAGGCTCTGGGGAGATGTCTGGGTCTAAAGCAAGCTTCCAGATGGCCAGAATTCCGGGCATCAGCATTACTGCAGAAACCACTACAGGAGGCCACTGCATAGGTCTGCTGCCACACTGCCATCTAGATGTCCTCCTTGGACTGGGTGGAGGCCAATCGAAGGCCTCCCTGACCACTCTTGCTGGAGAAGGTAGTAACATGACCAAAAGACAGACTCACTTAAAAATAGTCTACAAAAAGGCTAATCCAGCACTTTGCATATCTTCTCCAAATTCACCCGTCAACCCTGCCTCCTAAGTCTGTGCAGAGTAAGCCAAGATGTCTAGAAAGGAACCGATAATGTTACTCCAGCCAAAGTTCTTTTCCTGGAGATGCGAGGGCAAAGAAAATGGATGTTCTTCCCTAATGTGTTTCAGAGATATGCAGCAACTCTGAATCAGTGATTCTGTTAATGAAATAAATATGAATGATCACTTTTTCCAAAATTTCTGCATGGAATGTTTCCTTTTTCATAGTCAGGGGGAAAAAGAACATTAAAACTCAAAATTTTGGGTTTGCTCCTGATGGAAGACTTAGAGACATACTCGCCTTTAAAGCAGCAGCTAGAATCTCGGATGAAAGACACGAAGTGAAGGCTTTCAGATATTAGCCAGGGGCAGCTTGGGCAGCACGAGGGAAGAAGGGCCAGTGAGGCAGCTGAGCTCTGCAACTGCCCAGTCCAAAGTACCAGCAGTGCTGAGGTTGCAGGACCCTGTTCACAGAGACCGCTGTGGCTGGAGGTGGAGAAAAATCAACTACACGGGACAAAGGGAATGACTGTAAGGTCATGGGAAAATGTTATGTTCTGTATGTTGGCTACGGGGCAGTCGTGTGGCTACAGATACTTGTCAAAACTCAAACTCTGAGAAACGAGCATTCTCACATATAAAAATCACATGAGACACATGTACGTAAGAGTGAAGTTACTCACTAAGATGAGGCAATGTAGCGTGCTGCTGAAGTGTGACCACTTAAAGCTCCTAATTCTGTATGAGGTCTGTACTGGAGCTCACTGAACTCTGCACAAAACGCTCACTTGCGAGCAGCACAGCAGGCACTACTCTAAAGCAGGCTTCTAATGAGTCCAGTGTGTCCCGACAAGAGTCTGGAGGCTTCCCACGTGCAGTGCAGCCTCCTGTGATGACGCAAATATTCACTGCTAGGGTCACGTGAGGAAAAGTCTGTATTTTCTATCTGACTGAATATAACAGTCCCTTTCTTACACCACTGCTTTTTTACTGGTTGTAATCTATAATTATACCGGGGTAAGCACAGATACCGTCACAGGATATGGACAACATAGTATTTGCTAATCTACAAGTTGTTTGAAAAGAGCAGGACTCGGTCTAAAGCACATGTACAGAAATCTACTAAAATGTACATCATAATTATAAAATATAACATCCAATTTAAATGATTATCAGAAAGGTGATTTTAATCACGTAAGAGAATTACAGACAACAGAGAAAGAAATGCCTCATATGTACAGTAAGAACTTTAAAAAGGAGGAAAAACATATGCTTGAGATAAATACGAAGAACATCTGCTATTCATCAGGAAACTTAAAAATCCTTCCCTAGGATGTCAGTCCTGGTAATTTCTGAGCACCCATTTTATAAAATCCATGTCATAAAAGGAATAAAAATAAATGAAAGGCTTCATAAAGTGACTGGCAAAGTGTTCCTAGGCTTAGTTCAGAGAGCCATCTACTCTCCTGAAGCTTCGTGCAGAACATTTGATTTCCATTCATGATTCCACTTCTCTTCTTCCTTTTAGGTCCTAGCCAGCTAGGGAAGACCTTGGAGTGGCCTCTGAGAAGCACTTGTAATGGGAAATGACAAGTATTTATTTTGCTGGAACAGCTGAATTAAAATGTCAGGTTTTATAGAGATTTTTATACAGATCGTTCCTCACTTTTTATTTACTGCATCATTTATGCTTTTGATATTTGATAACTAATCATTTACTATAGGAGAAATCTGTGAAATTTTAAAAAGGAATTCACTTTTCCTTTATCATTCATCTGCAACTAAACTAGAAGATGATCTAATTTTCTGGTAGTTATTGATATGTTTCTCTCAAACATAAAAGTAAAAACACATGAAAATAAAACCGTACCATTAAAAAGAAAATACTTTTTCTGATTTGCAAACTAGGTATTGCCATTGCCACAGCTCAAAATTAGTACACAGCAGAGTCACCACCATCTCAGTCACAGCGCCAGTCTCCTTGCTGAACAGGTTAGTGTCGAAAGTCAGTTACCTTTATCTGCAGAGAATAAATCTTAATTCCAAGGTGAGAAGCAATACAGAAAAAGAAAAGCATGAGAAAATGTCTGGCTTGACATGAAGGCCTGGATAAGTATCTGGTAAAAGGGAAAATCCATCACCAAATACATTTCTAGACTGACTGTATCTGTACGATAGACTACACAAGGTTCCTAAAATCAGAATGACAATTCCCGTCATCATGC